AAGAAAAAGAAAAAAGGGGGGCTAGAGGGATGGCCCAGCAGTTAAGAGCACTGATTGCTCTTGCAGAAGACCTGGGTTCAATTGCCAACACCCACATGGCAGCTAACAACTGTTTGTAACTCCAGTTCCAGGGAATCTAATGCCTTCTAACCTCTGCAGGCACTGCACGGCACGGGTTCACCTCCACACATGAAAGTAATACACTCATATACATAAAATAAAAATAAATAAAATTTGAAAGAAAAGAAAAAAGGGACACTGGTCTTTTGTGTTGAAACTGGCCATCCTACCCACACCAGCTACCTCAGAACTGGCCACTCACATAAACACATATAAAGGCTATAAAAAGTCAGCAACCAGGTGTGCCTCCACTGCACAGTGGACACAATTCAGGTCCAGAGTCAGGAGAACTGTCCTATACTACTATATGTGGAGCTCTGGAAAAGAGACAGGCCAGAAGGACTCACCGGAAGCCTCTGAACATTCCCTGGAGAGCCCAGGGGCTGGGAGATGGCTCAGCTGTTAAGAGCACTGGCTGTTCTTGCAGAGAACCTGGGTTCAGTTTCCCAGCACCCACATGGCAGCTAACAACCACCCACATGCCCTCTGTGGCATTGCATGCACATGGTACACCTACATATATGCAGGCAAAACACTCATACACATAAAATAAAAAAAAATTGTGTGAATAGCAAGTCACATGCACACAGACCTGTGCCTGTGCATATTAGGGAAGCTGAGACAGGAGGACTGTCACAAGTTCTACACAGCAAACTCAGACTAGCCAGGGCCAGATAGACATACTATCTTATAAATATAAATAGATAAATAAATAAATAGTGAATAATATGCATGTTAGATCCAGTTCCCATCACTCAGTTCTCAGTTGTATCTGAAAAGTTAAGTTGGAGTGAAACCTTTAATAAAAGGTGGGAAGGGTAGTCACAACAGCAGGAGCTGTACAAAAAAATTCAAAGGCAAGAAAGGCTATTGATCATGCCATAGCCTCAAACTGAACAAGATTACCAGGAAGCCAAGTTCAGGGCCACCACAGGGTGGGGGAGAATGTTGGAGAAGGGTAGAGAGGCCAATCCATGTAAGCCATCATAAAATAGCACTCTCAGTGTGGGGTTGATAGAGTTAACATGGTAAGACAATTGGCTTTTGGTCTGGCTGAGAGTTGACCTCAACGCCATCCTTAGATATAGAACTACTTCCTCACACTGAAACATTCCCACCTAGAGAGAAGTAGGCTCAGAAATCTCAGGAAGTAAATGAAACTTACAAGATGAGGTCAGGAAGCTCCTAAAATTTACAGGATTCACTAGTCTCCTCCCCAAAGTCCTATCACCACAGCCTTTAATCCCAGCACTTGGGAGGCAGAGGTAAACAGATCTGTGAGTCCAAGGCCAGCCTGGTCTACATAGTGAGTTTCAGGTTAGCTGAGGCTACAGGAGATCCTGTCTCAGAAAAACAAAAAACAAACAAACAAAAAATCTCAACATGATATACACTAACAATACAGACCATTAAATGTCTCTTCAGGGAAACAGCACTGAGAAGCATCTAAGGATCATGGCTATAAACTGTGTGGGACATCTGAAAAAGAGGTCATGTTGCAATGATATTCTCTTCATTTATTTATTCATGAGGTTAGGGAACAGGAAAACCGTGAGATGACATCACAGACATAATCTGCAAAAGGGATGTCTGGAGTTGGCATCTACCAAGCCATGACTCTGCCAGGATGGGCTTCTCTGGAAGGGCCTGCAGGCTCACAGGTCACAGATGGCCTGGATTCTTTGTGCTAATCACAAAAATGTCATGACTGTTCCTTTCTTTCCAATCTGCCAGGCCTCCAAGGGGAAGAAGCGGATAATTATCCTTCAAGAAACAGAGAAAGAGATGTCAACGCCTCACC